CAACATTGGTTATCCCACCATGGGTTATTAGACAACCAAAAAATCCCCTACTAAGAATTGAGGTGGCTTACTGGAAGCCTCACTCGTCATCTTTATGCTCACCTATTTTGTTTCATATGTGAAATGGTTAATCAATCCAGTTTCGATTATTACCACCTTTCGTCTCCATTAGTCAGCAGCTGCTACCTTTACAATCCAAAGTATACCAATATGTGAATAATCAAATAGTCTATAGGTTTTATCAAAAATAAATCTAATAAGAGAAAGGATCAATAATATGAGGAGGCCATAAACTAGTACTAATAAAGTATCTAAGATTGGTTGCTATTGATCCCTATCCAACCTTTTGTAATCCCTCTTTAAGGGTTTTATCCTCCTACTCTCCCCCATTATCTTTAGTTAGGACCCACCCTTTATATGATCCTACCTATCAACTAATTTACCCGCTGACTACCTTGAATTATTCCATGATGAGATTAGGGGTGTCATTGCAGAGTAAGTAAAAAAGAATAAAAGACTAAAAAAGAATAGAGGAGGCACTATAAAAGGCAACCAATAAAACTCTGATAAAAAAGGAATAAAAAAGAAAAGAATAAAGAAAAAGAATAAAAAAGGGCTATAAGGGTAAGAAGAAAAAAGAAAATGTAAGGTATAAACGAGTAAAAAAGAGGGAAGGGATTTGACAAAAAAACGCCCTATCCTAAGACTAAAGTTCATATACATAAGATAAATCTGAATAAGCATTTAGGAAGCATCTTCTATCACCAATCTCATAGATCTAATTAACATATTAAAAACTTAGCTAAATAAGATAATTCAATCTATTTAATTACCCTTCCTACCACCCTTATAAGTCTTAATAGAGGTTAAAAGTCCTATTGGAATAATTATTAAGTCAAATGATAAAATAACTAATTAGTATTGATCTATTCCAATGGTTGTTTATATTAGTATTGATCTATTCCAATGGTTGTTTATATTAGTATTGATCTATTCCAATGGTTGTTTATATTTATATTAACTTTCATAATTAAAAGTATTTGTCCTCTTTGATTGAAATTTGTTTACAATTTAGATGACCATAAATAAGACATCTTAAGAAGGATCAGAGTGTAGCTTAATGGTAGAGCATTAGCTTTGGGAGCTAAAGGCCGCTGGATCAGTACCAGTGACTCTGAATTTAAGGAGTCGGAGCATATAAAAAAGCTTAAAGAGCTCGTCTAGTGGAAAGATTAAAAAAGAGTAATTAATGAGAACAGCACAAAATAAACAAAATTAGCTTGAGAAACCCTAAATAATATAAAAAGTATAAGAAATAGAAAGTCTAATTGACCTAAAAGAGTATAAGGTGGAGGAATTGGTTTTTGACCAAACCATAAAGAAGGAATGAGAGGAGCGAAAGATTGTAAAAAAGGTCTATATCAAAAATAAAAGGATTGAACAAATGCTAAAGGAATAAAAATTAACTAAGCACTAAACATAGCGATTACTCCTAGTCATTATCTATTATAAATATATTTTTCTTCTCCTTTTTATGCTGATCACATCATTAAAGTCTAATTAGTGAATAATACAACTATTCGAAATTTATTACATAATTTAAAGAAATCACTTTAAAGTGATTTCATTAGTAAATCCAAATAGTCGAGAAATTAGCAGACCTCACAAAAAGTTTTTTAAACTTAAAGCAGAAGGCTATTTTGATTAACTGTAAATAAAGGATAAAAAGATATGTTTAACTTGTATAAAAAAGAAGAATCATCTTGACATTGATAATTCACGAATAGAATAACTATAAAAAAGGGTATCATAAAGAATCTACCTAATAAAAATAACCTACTTAAATGTGTAAAATAGAAATAAATAACAGAAGAAAACAAATACCTAGGGAGAAATAAAACATACCACAATAAAGAGTAAATAATATTTAAAAACCTTTCTACTTATAGTGGTTCAATAATCGACTTAGATAAAACTTAATGAGAGGCCCCGACTAAAGAATAATAGATTTTAAGATAAAAAGGATGTCTATAGAAGACAAATCACAAGATCGAAGATCTGATAAAAAAATTTGTAAGGAATTGATGTAATACAATGGTAAGGATAAAAAGAGTGATAAAAAAGTCAGTAGAGCTTATAAAACCAATATCTAGAAAGTTTAAGGACTAAATAAGGGAAATAAAAAAGAAAGACCAGGGAAAGAAGTTCTTATAGGGACTAGGAGAGAACTGAATTTATTATTACATCATATCCATCTTTTAATCCATAAGTTTTTTTATCCACTATTAAATTATTCATATTCCGTTATCCAATAACCTAATGAGATAAGGATAAAAAGATTATTTAATATTTTAAGGTACTACTTTTTCATATTTATGATGTTAATCCACCAATCATATAATAATTGTAAAACAAATAACTCTTTAGATAGATCAAGATATTTGAAAAATGAGAAGGAGAAGATCAATCAGAACAAAAAGGGCATAATAAGGAAAAGAAGGGTTTAATAAAATACATCTTAAAACAATGACACTAAAAAGTGGATAGAGACTATACTTAAGTTGAAGAATCTGTTTTAGAACCTTTAGCTAAATGTGTATGTGTTAATAAAAACTTTTGAAATGGAGATCGGCCTCAAGAAATAACGTACTAAAGAAGTAAGGTTAGAAGACCTGGGATAATAGAAGCAGATCAACTTTTACCTAATCAGCTCATAAAAAGATTCCTCTCTAATATGAATAATAGGAGAAAGATTAAAAGGATATAGGACAAAAAGAAAGAAAAAGCTTATAATAAAGACAGAAAGAATAAAAAAGGATAACAGCCTCATAAAGATTAAAAATGCTTATGTAGAAAAAGAAACTTTAAAAGGACCCCTAAAGGGGTGAATAAAAGAATGAAAGAAGGGAGAATAGAGGAGGGGACTGGGAAGTGTAACGAAGTAGGATAGATAGAAGAAGGGAGAGTGGGAAAAGGACGAGTGGGTAGTTGAGTGGAGAAAGGGTAAAAAGGGATAAAAAGGGAGGGCTATAAAAGAGACAATAAAAAATAAGTCATAAGAATGACTAAATGTAAATATCTGCTAGAGGATGAAGAGTGACAACGTAATTAGGGTGAAAAGAGGAGGAAATACATTCATGTAAAAATGTTGTCATCTTGGTTACATCCCCTAAGGGACCAGTTTTATTACTTAGTAATGGAAACTTTTAAAGTTTTGTAAAAAGTCAATTATCGGAAGACAACATATAGTACAAGAGGCTTAGCCTTTTCTAATCCCATTCGCCACTCTCTTTTTCGAGGGTCCCTCTCTTGCTAATTTCACTTCTTTATAATATGCAATTTTATACATCTGCTTGTTTCAGGACTTGATCTAATTATACGATTGTCTTACAGACCATCCCCCTTGGCCTTACCGTACTTAATCTTTTATTCCAGCCACCTCCCGATTTTAGACCCCTCCCACCTTTGTTCTACCCCTCTTCCCCATTCTTATTCCTACTACGGGCCCCTCCTTTCTCTACCCTCTCTTCCCTAGCCATCCTTTCGCTCTTCCCTTTGTCTTTTCTCATCTTAGATGTTCTTCCCATCCCTCCATCCTTTTTCCAACTTTCTTTCTCCGATTCCCTTCTTTATACACGGCGACCATCCTATACACATTTATGTTTATATCTCCCTTTCCCATTTTACAAGATCCGAAGCCATGTTGATAGGGGGAGTAAACTAAGCATTAAGAACCTCTATTATATATTAGGCCTATTTTATCCCTTATTGTGATTTTTCTCCCTTTTGAGGACATGCAATCTCCCTATTCCCTTCCTTTTTCTTTTTTCTATTCCTATTCTTTCTATTAAACTCTTTTTATTCTTATGGTCCCTTAGTTACCCTCTTCTTAATTTATGTTATGGGATGACCCACCCACTTATCGTCATTCTGGTATTTCTTTCCCCTTCCATTTTATCCCTATCAGTTAACCTCGGCTGGGCTTATCCTCGCTCTATTAAGACTTCTTTTTTGCTCTACACAGTCTTATCAATGTCGTTTTATCTTACGTTTACATTTAAATACAAATTTAGTTAAAAGTTTACAAGGCAACATTAGGTTGGTAAAGCTAGATTCGCGGTTATACCCTACCATAAATTTATATAAATCAGATTGTTTCTACTTATATTTTAATAGTGAGCTAATTTAGCTGTATTGCTTATATGGCCAATTAAGTCTTTAAATTAGTTGATAGAAAGAGGGTAAGTTTAAACTTCAATAAAACCAGGGGGATCGTATAGGACTCATAAGGATAAGAGAGGGGAGGGTCGTATATCATAAATAGAATCTACAACCCCTGTACTATTATCTCAACCCGCCAAATTGTCTATAACCCCTTGAATACGTAGTGTAAGAATGATAAATACCACAAGTTTTATCTGACTAAAAGCACAAGCTAAATCATCTGCTAATGACTAGAACCAATAGTCTGGAAAATAGAGAGGGGTGACCTATAAGGTTAACAGATAACAACACATCAACAACAATTTTGATTCGTAGCCCATGGGATTGGTCCCTCTAGTTGAACAAAAGTAGTGGTGAGGATGGATGAAAAGAAAGAAAAAGAGCTAGGGAAAGGATCCAAAGCCATAAAACCCTCAGGGGTAGTGAAGATGGATAAATGTAAAAGTCCTCTGCTAATAGATGAAAAGGGACTAAGTCAGAATGAGGGAATCGACACGAAAAAGATTGAAAGAGCCTAGTCTAGAACAGAGGTTTGAGAAAGGAAGAGGGAATCCAAGTTAGAAAAGTGAAAAAGAAAGAGGGTAAGGCCATGAAAATTGGCTTCAGTTTGATAAATTGAATGGTTGGGTGTGGTCCCTCTATCTTTGTATAGAGAAATAATAATAAGAAAATAGAACCGTGGATGAAAAAAAGGACGGATAAGGGGTTGAACGATAGACTCAGCAAATAAAAACAGATAAACGCTAATCTAAAGATAAAAAAGGTGTAAAAGATAAAGAATAGGAAACCCGGGGAGAAAAAGAATGCAAAAAGTGATAGAGAATAAAAGGGAAAAAATAACTAACGAGAGAATAGAATAAGACCCCTTTGTGAGGGTTATCTAATTATGCTAAGACTTATTAGTGGCATATTTTTATTATTCTAAACTTTTATGTAGGGATTCAGACTTCTTTTTACTCTTTTATATTGTCTATCCTTTCTCCTTTCTCTTCTTCCCACCAACCCTTTATCCCCTCTCCCCATTCTTTTTTATCTATTCCCTTTT